TTTAAAAATTATGATTTCTGTACTCCGAATGCATCAGAGAAAGCAAACTGAATCACATGCTGTTCAGTCTACTTGTATGTAATAAAAATTTCTCAAAAAAGAAGATTTAAACAGAAAATTAGAAAAGAGATAAAAATCAAATGGAAGTCACTCAAGGCCGGAGGTGCAACTGCAAGATGCTGGTACAACTGTATGCTTTCTGTGCTTTTCAGACATAGATCCACTGGGACTGCCATTGTCTTCAGACAATGAATCTCATTGCTTAACTTATGTGTCTTTTTGACAGTCCCTCCAGAAAATCAAGGTGGCCAGGACAACCTTCATTTCTGAATTTTACCATTTTAATACAACTACGTATATTTAGCTTTTGGATGGCTCTTTTATCCCTCCATTCTGAAAGCCTTCCATGAAACTTTTGGAACATCAAAAAATCCGCCAGTGCTCACTTTGGCAGCACATATACTAAAATATTAACAATACAGAGACGATTAGCATGGCCACTGTGCAAGGATGACATGCAAATAAGTGAAGGATTTCATGTGTTTTGAAATATGAAATGTAATGTAAAAAAACCTACCAACAGAGAAAAGTCCAGGTCCTGATGGATTAACAGCTGAATTCTACAAGAAATTTATGAAAGATATAATCCCTATACTCCTCAAACTCTTCAATAAAATTGAAAAGGAAGGGGCCGGGGAATGGCACAGTAGAATAAGCGCTACCCTGGCAAGCGCAAGGGCCTGAGTACAATCCCCCGTTCCACCAAAAAAGAAAAAGAAATTGAAAAGGAAGCAATCCTCCCAAAATCATTCCTAGAGGCAAGTATTATACTGATACCAAAATCAGGGAAAGATGAAACTAAAAAGGAAAACTACAGGCCACTCTCTCTCATGAACATAGATGCAAAAATCCTCAGTAAAATCCTAGGAAATAGAATGCAACAAATCATCAAGAACATTATACACCATGACCAGGTAGGATTCATCCCAGGGATGCAAGGATGGTTCAATATACACAAATCTATAAATGTAATACACTATATCAATAGAACCAAATCCAAAAACCACATGATCATCTCCATTGATGCAGAAAAGGCTTTTGACAAAGTCCCACACTCATTCATGTT